AGCTCCTAATTATGTGAGCCCGATGTGAGCCCGATGTGCCTGATTTCTTTATTCAATGTCCTTTTGAGCGAATGCTATCTCAGAGCCCGATGTGCTCATTGGACGTGCGTTGTCTGATACTGTATTATACCCAAGGGTACTGTCCTGTCAAGGACGATATTATTCCTATAATCATCCTCTATCCGAAACGCCGGTTCGTTTCCGAAATCTGTCGATAAGAATTAGCAGTTTGGTGGAGTACACTCTCATCGACTTTATGTGCACTGTGTCATCCTGCGTACGTGGTTTCCACAGCTATTGACGCTCGTGATCTAACAATGCGAGGCGGACGGAAGCATGTGGACGATGTTTGTCGCTAAAATTTTTCACTTCTGAGCGGGCAGGCAGGCTGTGCTCTTGAAAACAGGCTCAACTATACTTTAGAGCATAGCTGCTTACACAATGAACTTTTTGCCGAAAGCAGATTTATGTTCATGGAACAGGGGTGATGCTTGCAAAAGCGTATTCATCGCTGTTTTGGGCAAAACCACTAGAGATATGTGGACTCCACATATCTCGTTTCATCTATCTCCACATTGTGGAGATAGATGAAACGAGCTGTTGGATGGGCCTACCAACCGGGGTTTGAACGGAGAACCAACCCAGTGGGGCGCTTCGCACAATGCATTTGACGAGCAGTACACTGTACAGTAAGTAGTAAGGTTTACAGTATTTGATAGAGACTATTTGATATCCTGTCCCCCTTTATTCGCTGAGGCAGTATGGTATCATACAGTAGTCATATCGTCATCGACGGTCATCCCGCACCTTCATGTAAACTCCTCAGGTTGTTCGATCACTGCAGTTAGTGCAGCAAACAGCAGCGCAGCCAAACGATGCGCCCAGTATGAGTCCTTCGCCATGTTACACTCTTTTTATGCAGACCCAGCGAGCATTCTCAGGGGCAGGTTGCGTAGTCAGTAGGCTACAAACCAACACGCCGCTCGCGCGACAACCCAGAACAGCTCTCCGTGTACAGCAAAATACACACGTCGCCTTCACGCGGGACATAAGAGCCGGGTACGTGGTGTACTGCACAGTAGTACTGTACAGTACTTGACGGCCGGCGTCGACTAGACCTCAAGAGTGAGAGTGTGAGTGTCCCCCGAATACTCGAAAACTCGGGATTGGCATGACGTTCTTTACCTTCCGTTAATGGGAAAGTCAGGCGAATCGGGCCGCCAAGGCCCGCACACCAAAGAGCTTTGGGGACGACAAGAACACATTAGTATCGTTTGTCGGCAACCAATCTCGACCAGGACTTCCTGTCTCCCTATCATG